CCGCCACCTTAGGTGTATGTGGCTGGCGCCTTAGCTGCTTGAGCCACAGGCGCCGAGCCCTCAAACTTTTTAAACAGAGGGCTAATTCACTGTCCCTCAGACCATTGGAGGGCCAGACTGTGGGCCCTGAGATGAGTCAGCTGCTAAGCAGGACAGGCAGTGGTGGCAAAAATACCCAGTGTGCCGGATAAATGTCCTAGGCTGGCTGCATGTGGCCTGCGGGCCGTAGTTTAAGGATGCCTGGTTCAAGCAATCCAAGCGTCTCTGCCTCCCAGACAACTAGGATTACAGGCATGAGCCATTGTGTCTGGCCACCCACTTTTCCTAACTTTTAAAATTAGATACCTAGGCCAGGCACAGCAGCTCATGCCTATAATCCTAGCACTCTTGGAGGCTGAGGTGGGCAGATAGCCTGAGCTCACATGTTCAAGACCAGTTTGAGCCAGAGTGAGATCTCATCTCTAAAAATAGCTGGGCGTTGTGGTGGGCACCTGTATTCCCAGCTACTTGGGAGGCTGAGGCAAGAAGATCGCTTAAGCCCAAGAGTTTGAGGTTGCTGTAAGCTGTGACACCATGACATTCTACCCAGAGAGACACAGTGAGACTTTGTCTCTAAATAAATAAATAAATAAATAAAATAAAATTAGATACTTGGCCAACTGTGTTTGAGATTTTTCTCTTTTCTAATATATCAGTCTGCACATTTCCCTCAGAAGATTGTTTAAGCTCCATCTTACAAGTATTGATATGTTTTTATTATTCATCTATAAGTTCATAATATCCATTATGATTTCTCTTTTGACCCATGAAGGTCTATCTGTGGAGGGAATTGGGGTGAATGGTGGGAGAATACCAGGTAAATGAAATTGGAGAAATCTATTTCTTTAAACACTAATTATTGGTGTACAAATCTCTTTTTCAGGCTCAGCGCCTGTGGCTCAAGTGGCTAAGGCTCCAGCCACATACACCTAAGGTGGCAGGTTTGAATCCAGCCTGGGCCGGCCAAATGACAATGACGGCTGCAACCAAAAAATAGCCAGGCGTTGTGGTGGGTGCTTATGGTCCCAGCTACTTGGGAGGCTGAG